GGGCCTGGGATCTGCACCACTTCAATCATATTCTAATTAGATTGACATAATAATCGAATATGAACCATCTGGATCTGGAATAACCTCAATTCTATTTCGACTCTACACGGCCTCCGTATGTATCTAATTGGAATCAGCAATGGGAATATACTTGTAATCGGCTGGATCTGGAATCTGCTCAGTTCCCATTGTGCTTCCGTGGGGTGGGGAACGATTCCCAAGCACCCAGAACAATCCCTGTAAACACGCAGGGTTCGCGACGCCGGAAATTCCCGAACGTTGTGTTTTCGTTCGGGCGTTGGGAATTTCAAAATTCAGCCGTGAGGAAGCATTATGTGATCATTCGGATGTTTTGGATTCTAGGGGTTTTTACCCCCCAGCGCAGATCCCGCCCAAAGGTCCAGAGCCCCAGAAATCAAGCAAATACACCAAAACAACGAATGAACACACATGGCTCCCTGTCTCCTCATGCCGGGAATCCCAAACATCCAAACGAACACACACAGGGCTTCCTCACCCCTGACATCACCAACCTTGCGTTTTCGTGTGTATGATTGGGATTCTGGGGGTCGGAGCTCCTCGGAGGGCTCTTCGGCGGGATGTTCGTTGGAGTGGGATTGCCCCCCAAAGATTCAAATGAAAACGCACGGTCCCCTGACATCGCAAACCTGCGTTTTCGCGCGTGGGGATCGGAGCTCACGCCACGCCGTGGGACGCCGACCAGCGAGAGAGGAGAGAGAGGGAGAGAGAGAGAGAGAGAGAGAGAGAGAAAAAAAAGAGAGAGAGAGTGAGAGTGTGAGAGAGAGAGAGAGAGAAAAAAAAAAAAAAAGCGAGAGAACAAAAACAAGAGAAAGAGCAAGAGAACGAGCGAGAGAGAGATAAATAGAGACGGAAAGAGAGAGAGAGGGAGAACAAAACAAAGACAGAGAGAGAGAGAGAGACAGACACACATACGAGGAGGAGGAGGAGGAAATGGAGAGCACCACCGTCGTATTTGAATGCTGGTGCGAATGGGTGCTGGGGGGGGGCTGTCCATATATGTATATGTATATGTCTATTTGTATACGTCTGCGCGCGTGTATGTAAACATATGCATGGAAAGAGAGAGAGAGAGAGAGAGCACGAGATTAACTGAGGTAACCATCTACACAAATAGAGAGATCCGCCACCGTGCCTCTGGCACGAAGTGGAGTGACCCAAGGCTCATGCTGTGCTGCTGCTGCGACAACCAGAATGGGAAGTCTTTCAGGGCCCAGAGCAGCCGTTTCCCAGGCCATCTTGGGCCGTCTTGGGGTTACCCCGTCTGGCCCCCGTGAGTTCTGGGATGCTTCCGGCGGGTCCTCTGGACGCTGTGACCACTTGACGAGACCCCGACTCGGCGAAATACTGTTCAAAGACGTTGTCAATGGCCCCGAGATGGCCCCAGACACCTCCAAGGCGCCCAAGGAGGCCACCAAGAGGCCTCCCAAGATGGTCCCAAGAGGCCAAAATCATTGGTTTCTCTTGGGTGTTTGAAGGATGTGGGAGTTCTCGCCTTTTCGGCTTCGCGACGCTCCCAGGTTGCCCTAGAAGCCCCCAAGGCCGCCCCAAGACGGGCCAACGGCACCAGAGGGCCCCCAAACAGCCCAAGAGCCGCCCAAAACGGCCCAAGAGGGCCCCAAAACGGCTCCGAAAGGGGCGCAACAGAGGGAACACGAACTGAAAATCCGACCTTTCTTCCGCCCCAAGATGCCCCCAGGAGGCCTCAAGAGGCGCCCAGGAGGGCCCAAGAGGCTCCGAAGAGGCCCCCAAGAGGCCCTAAGAGGCACATAAGAAATCCAAAAGAAGCCCAAAGGGGCCCCCACACGGCCCCCAAGAAGCGTCCAAACTGCCTCCACGAGGCCCCCGAGAAGACTCCCACGAGATCCCAACGAACATCCACTAGGCTTCATACCCACAACCCAGGCGAGGTGGCGGCATGGCCCGAAGTCCACTCGATAGCGAGAAAGGGAGAGAGAGAAAGAGAGAGAGAGAGAGAGACAGAGACAGAGAAAGAGAAAGAGAGAGAGAGAGAGAGAAACAAAAAGACAGGGATCTCTCTCTCTCTCTCTCGTTCTATGTATACTTGCATATGCAGGTGAAGATGCAGATGCATGTGCATATGCATATACAAATACATAACAATGTACAGGTAACACGCACGTAAGCACATACATGTACACATACATTTACATATACATCTACATTTACATTCACACTTTCCCCAATCAGAGCTCGCCTCTGTAGGGGTCCTGGCGGATTCATATGGTGAGGTGAACGTTGCCAACGATTTCCGCGGCTTGCCCAGGTGCCCGGGTGCCCAGGTGCCCCGGTGCCCTATAGCCCTATAGCCCTACAGCCCTATAGCCTTATATTATACCCTTATGGCCCCATAGGCCCTATACCCCTATAGCCCCGTAGCCCTACAGCCCACTAGCCCACTAGCCCAATAGCCGTATAGTCCTATAGCCTTATAGCTTTATAGCCCTACAGCCCTGTAGCTCGATGTATGCCTATAGCCCTATAGACCTAAAGCCCCTATAGCCATGTATCCCTATAGCCCTATGATCCTATAGTCCTATAGCCCCATAGCCCTATTTAGAATGAATGTGAGCGGCGCTGAGGCGAGAGCCACATTTTGAAAACCAGCATCCCTTCATATGTAAAACTGCTGAGGACGTCTCAGGCGAAACGCCCGGCCCGCCCTAAAAACGGGCCTCGGCGTGCGACAGGGAGAAGTTCCCCAATCAGAGCTTGCCTCTGTCGGGGTCCTAGCGGATTCATTCCCCAATCAGAGCTTGCCTATGTAGGGATCCTAGCGGATTCATATGGTTAGGTGAGGTTTGCCACCGATTTCCGCGGCCCGCCCAGGTGCCTGGGTGCCCGGGTGCCCGGGTGCCTTATAGCCCTATAGCCCCAGAGCCCAACAGCCCTATAGCCTTATACCCCTATGGCCCCATAGGCCCTATAGCCAAATAGACCTATAGCCCTATCGCCTTATAGCCCTCCCATAGCCCTATAGCCCTCTGGCCCTATAGCCCACTAGCCTTGTAGCCCCATGGTCCTATAGCCCTATATTCAATAGCTCGATAGCCCTATAGCCATGTAGCCCTATAGCCCTATAGCAATATAGCCCTATAGGCATATAAATCCATAGCCCTTTGTCTCTATAGCCCGATAGTCCAACGGTCCTATGGCCCTATAACCCCATAGCCCTATGTATACATATATATATATATATGCATAGCACTATGGCCATATAGCCCTACGGCCCCATAACCCTATAGCCCCAGATCCCTGTAGCCCTACAGCCTCATTGCCCTATGGCCCTATAGGCCTATAGCCCTTTTAGCCCTATTAACCTATAGCCCTATGGCCCTATAGCCCTGTAGCCCCATAGCCCTATAGCCCCATCGCCCTACAGCCCAACAGCCCTGAACAAACTTGGAGTTGGATGTTGCTCGATATCATACATACATGAATGTACACATTCATATCCATAGAACTATACATGTATATATATATATATATATATATACAAGCATGTCCAAATACAAATACACATGCAAACACGTATGAACACACATATACATATACAAAACCACGGACATACAAACACTTACTTATACATGTGCAACCACACATGCAGATGCAACTGCACACCCATATCTATATACACATACATACTATACCTATACAAGTGCATAACTATACACACATACTTACATACATGAAATTATACATATACATCTACCTAAACATATACATATACGTATACCTGTGCCCATGCAGGTATACACATGTGCATGCACATGCAGGTGCGTATACATATATTGAACTGAAGAAAGACAGGAGGTGCTTGTGAAAGAGAGAGAAGGATAGAGAGAGAGAGAGAAACAACACGAGCGACAGAGAGAGAGGACACCGGATCGTTTCGTGTGCATATACCCTCGCGGCCCGGACGGCCAACGTCATCGCGAATCGGACACAGAGGGGTGGGGGGTAGGGGGGGCGAGGAGGACATGATGGCGATGACGACAACAGTGATGATGACGAATATTCTGATGACGATGGCGAGAAAGACGATGCTGATGATGGCGATGATAGTAACGAGGCTGTTCACCGAATGCGGGTGAACAAGGGCCTCTCTCAGAAGCGTTCTTGCTTTGACCGAGATCAGGGAGCGAACCCCGAGAACCCCCCAGGAAGCCCACGAAGGCGACAACGAGGCAACGGCATCGGCATCGGCACTGCAATCGTGCCACCATAAGGAACGCGACACAAGGCACGCAGGAACTGTGTCGGCCGCGGCCAGCCGCGGCCACGAAGAGGCACCCCGACCGAGATCTAAGCACAAAACGGCCCGAAAACCACAGCCCCTCAGCCCAACGTGGTCCGCACTTCTGCGTTCTGGCGGCATGCCCTCCTCCACGAGAGGGCCAGGCCAGGCACACAGACCCGCCCGAGCGAGCGGGGCCGCGAGGGGGGCAGCGACGGCGGAGCAGCGGGAGGACCGCCCACACTCATTGGGGCCCCCACCGGCACTGCTCGGAGCCGCGGGGGAAGGGGGAGTGACGAGGGGATGGTTGGCGGCGCGGCAAAAGGGGGTGGCGCGAGCGGGGCGGCTTTGAAAGAAGATGGGGGAACTTCTTACAGGGAAAGGGGCTCGTAAAAAGGCGGGGGGGGTGCTAGAAAGGCTGCTTAGAAGACCGCACCCCCGTTCCCCCTGGAGCCACCCCCTTGTGCGAGCCGCCGAAAAAGGGAGGGCCCATACCTCCAACGGCTTGGCAAAGTTGAGGAGTTGTTCGTAGGCCGTTCTCACACCCTGGGACCATGAAGGGCGATCCAAGACGAGACATGTCCTTGCAAAGGGGTCGGGAAGTCTGCAAGCCACGTGATGACAACACGCCGCGACGTCGGACGTTTGGGGAGGGTGGAAGGTGGGGGGGAAGATGGAGGATTGGGAGGGGGGAGGGAGGGTCGAGCGAGGAGAGGGAGGAGAAAGGAGCTATACACGAGACAGGTCATCCTCCACCCTGGCGGACTGTGCCTGCCTGCTGCGAGGGCACCCTCAAACCGTTTAATTACGAGGCACGCATCTAACAGCTGGCTGTGCGTGAATGTGCATGCATGCTCGGCGGCGGGGCTACGACCCCCCCTTGCCCCACCACGTCCCCTGGCCCCCGCGGCCAATGCCGTCCACGGCGACAATGCGATCGAAAACCGGCCGAGCCGACAATGCGACCGAAACCGAAAGGCCGCAAGCGACCTCGAAGGGGGCGCAGCACCGCGGCGACGACGCGACAACCGAACCGAACTGGACCAAACCGACCGAACGCGACTGACTGCGACGCAACCGAACCGACCGAACCGTGAATTCCACGGGCCCTCCCACGGACCACCACCACCATCGGGTGCGCCGCCAGAGGGGAGCCAAGAAGAATGGGGTTCCTGCACAAGTGGTCCGCGGCACGTGCGCGGACAAAAGGGAGGCCCAGGGAATGCAATGAAAGAAAAAGAGAACGCCATGAGATCTGGAGATGTCACGGCCCCGGCCCTGAAATCCCCACCCCGAATCTTCAACCACCTCTTGGACGTCCCCGACGCCAAGCCGCCACCCCCCGAAGGAGCGCGCTACGGGGGGAATGGCTCGGGAGGGGGGGGGGGGACGTCGGCCTGGAGTCGGCGATGCATCACCAACAGATCGCCGATAGATCAATGGTAGACCCCCGACCGACAGGGGTCGATGTGCGCATGTCGGACCAATCCCAGCCGAGGCGTACCGGCTACAGCAAACCTGGCCACTTCACCGTCCATAACACCAACGGGCACCAATTGCAACCAGCCCTATTGATCCGACAGTGGGGACCATGTGCAAAAACATTTAAAACTCTTTAGCGACCACATGCACGTTTTAAGGATAGGCATTCATTCTGGGAGGCAACCTGAATAACCTGTTTGGATGTGATACTAATTCGCTGCCTGACATCAGGGAACTGTATTGCGTTGAAACTAAGCAGTGGTCGTCCGTGAATTGTACTGGATGCGAGAGCCTGGCTGCTTTCGTACGTCAATTGCCTAAAGCTTCATGTCACGTGGCATTTATGCGAGAGCTGCGGGGCTTCCATAAGCGAATACAACAATACTTAACAAACTATGTGCGGGCGCACATCAGAAAACGAGGCTACACCTGATGATAAGCCACCGTGAACATATGATCACTTAAAATGTCAAATGAAAGCAGAAGGCAAGCTTCCTGTGCGCAAATGGCAAAGACGAGCTGCAACCGACGTCCAGCAACATTATACGATAGTGTAGTTGTCTTTTCATACCAGAATACGTAAGCGCAGTAATTGACTAGTAGAACCAGCCCCTTGCACAATTCTGTAACGCCCCATGCGGTGTTCATGTGATAGGAAATGCGCCGACCACGGCGTTCGGACGACATCTTAAATTTTCTGTGTTTCCAATGCGGATTCAACAGGAAGTGCGTTGATCACGGCCTCCCGTTGACTGCTTTCACAGTCCATGCGCTTGTTCCAGCATCCACTCAAAGTGGAAGTCGGGATCGAGCGAGTCGGCCACGGCGAGAAGGGGGGGGCGGGGGCCAAACGACTCGGCAACGGCGGGGGGCAAGGTGACTTGTTCGGCCGTTCGGCCACTCTGTCCCTCCCCATGGGTTCGCCCCCCCCGGACCCCCGAAGGCGCGAAATGCTTCGGATGGGATGCGTCGCCCTCGGGGGGTTGGAGAATCCCGCGCCCGCCAGAAATGGGGCGGGGACCGAATGTTTCGGCGGCGGCAGCGGAAGGCAGAGTGACCCGTTCGGCCCCCTCTACCCCCCCGCGGGTTCGCCCCCCCCCCCCCCACCCCCGAGCTGCCGAGGGCGCGAAGCGTTTCCATTGAAACCCTCAGAAAAAAAACTCGCGCCGCAAGAAGGGGCGCGGGAGCCGGGCGAATCGGCGGCGGCGGCGGGCAAGGGGGCCCCGTCCGGCCCGCCCCCCCATGTGGTTCGGGGCCCCCCCGGGCCCCGACGGCATGGAAACGCTTCAATTGGAAGCGTCGCCCTCGGGGGCTCGGAAAACTCCGCGCCCGCAGGAAAGGAAGCGGGGGCCGAGCGATTCGGCGGCGGCGGCGGAGGGCAAGGCGATTCGCCCCCCCCCTCCCACGGGCCCGGGGGCCCCCCGAACCCCCGAGTGCGCGAAACATCCCCGTTGGAAGCGTCGCCTTCGGGAGCTCGCCGAACCCGGGGGCCGAGCGACTCGGGCGGCAGCGGGGGGCACAGTGGCCCGCTCGCCCCCCCCCCGGCTTCCCCCCTCGCTGGGTTCGGGGGCGCCCCGGGCCTCCGAAGGCACAAAACGCTGCATTGAAATCGTCGCCCTCGTGGGTTTGTAAAAACCCCGCGCCCCCGAAGGACAGGACGCGGGAACCGAGCGACTCGGCGGCGGCGGCGGGCCAGGTGACTCGTCCGGCCCGTCTCTCCCGCCTCGTGGTTTCGGGGGCGCCCCGAACCCCCGAGGGCACGCAGCGCTTCCATTGGAAGCGTCGCCCTTTTTGGCTTGGAGAGCCCCGCAGGAACGGAGGCCGAACGACCCTGCGGTGGCAGCGGGGGGCAAGGTGACTCGTTTGGTCCCCCTTTGCCCTCTCCCCCGTGGGTGCGGGGCCCCCCCGCCCCACCGAATCTGGAACTCTTCCATTGGGCGCGCTGCTTTCGGGGGCTTGGAGAATCCCGCGCCCGCAAGAAAGGAGGCTGGCGCCGAACGACACGTCCTATGGTTGTGCGGGTGATTGGGCACAGGCCTCTCTGTCCATCGAACCGATTCAGCAAAAGCATGACTGCTGAGTCGGCTGCGGAGAACCCTACCCTCCCTGCCGGCACAGCTACCACCGGCCCGCGACCCACCCACTTCCACCCTCTAGGGTTGGGTAAACCCGCATTCGCACAAGCGACGCGTTACGGGCGCGTGAGAATGGAGGCGCCGTTGTGGGCCCCAATGAGCGGGTTGTGTACCGCAATTGAACCCATCGCGGGCCCGTGCGAGACCATGGTGCTTCAGCCGCAACCACCCCGAAGAAATCCCACCAATCCTCCTCCTCCTCCACCTCGTCCTCCTCCTCCTCCTCCTCCTGCTCCTCCTCCTCCTCCTCCTGTTCCTCCTCCTCCTCCTTCTCCTCCTCCTCCTTCTCCTCCTCCTCCTCCTCCTCTTCCTCCTCTTCCTCCTCTTCCTCCTCCACCTCCTAATCATCCTTCTCCCCCCCTCTCCACCTCATCCTCATACCCCTCCTCTTCTTTTTTTCATCGGCCTATTGTAACTCACTCCCCCCTCCATGTCACCCTCCTCATCCTCCTCATTCACCACCTCCTCCTTGTCCTCCACCTCCTCCTCCTCCGCTGGAATTCATACGAAACCTACTAGGAACCCATCATGGATCCGAAGGAATCTGGAGGAATCCCTTCATTAGGAATTCTCAGGTATCCCCAGGAAGCCATCAGGAGCCCATCAAGAAACCATCAGGAATCCATGATACTCCCAAAGGAAACCAACAGGAATCCCATGGACCTCCAGAGGAATCCGCAGAAAACGCGAGGAACGCCTGAGGAAATATCAGGAATCATGAGGCCTTTCTCGGGAATCCTCCCGGATGTTTAAGAAACCTCTTAAGGAACCTCTCGGGAGCTTCCGAAGTTGGACTCGATACCAATTGGCTGGGATTGGCAGCGGAACGGCTGCAATCCGTCCTAGTTGGTTATGGCTGATCCCATCTTCGTTGATGCCCCGTCCACCCCCCCATCCTGAGCCTCATCCTCCCCCCCCCTGGCCTCCCGCCGCGCCCCGCTCGGGCAGCACAGCCCCCAACCCCACCTCGGCGCGTTGCCAGAAGGGGTCCTGGCCCACGGCGCTCCCAGCTCTTCGCGCCGCCCCGGGGGGCCTCCGGTGCCCTGAAGGCCTCGTGAGTGGTGCTCTGAGAGCTCAGACAACGCCTCAACACAAACTCTCGGAGCTCTGGCAGCCCCTGGTGATGCCTCCTTCTTCTTCGTCGGTGGAGGCCACCTGTGCCTCCCCGGCAAAGCGGGTGCTACCTTTTGGACCAGGGGTGCTCTGGGATCGGCGGCGGGCCCGGGAGAGACGCGAGAGGGGGCGGGCCTTCTCAGAAGGCGGCGGGGCCCCTCAGAAGCGCCCTCGCGCCGTCGGAGAAGCCGCCTGCGGCTTCGGTGAAGGCTTCTAGAAGCCTCCTCCGACGGCGCGCGGGCTTCTGAGAAGCCCCGCCGCCCTCTGAGAAGGCCCGCCCCCCTCCCTCGCCTCCCACGGGGGCTCGCCGCCGACGGAGGCCCACTGCGCCTTCCTGGGAACGCTGGGGGCCACTCCCGGCAGCGCCCGGCGGCTCTCCCCCGGATCCGCGCCCAGGGGCGCGACGAGAGCGCGGCGCCTCACTGCGCCGCGGGCGCGCCCCCGCAGCAGGCGGCGCCGTCCCCCTCCGCGCCCCCGAGCTCGGGCAGCGGCGCGATCTTCTCGAGGGGGGCAGCGACACGGGGGGGGGCTGGCTTCGGGAGCGGGGGCATCGACCTGGGACCGGCCACGCATCGCCGACAGATCGGCAAGAGGGGTCCGCGCGGCGCTCTTGGATCTGCGCTGGGCCCCCTCCCTGGCGCGCGGAGCGCGCGAGGGGCGGCGCGGAGGCGCCGCCGGGGGGGTGGCCCAGCGCGAAGCCGAGAAATCCGCGCGGAGCGCCAAAGGTGTATGTTTATGCCGTCTTCTCTTCTTCGGCTCAGGGAGGGGGGGGGACTCGACCGGGGATCGGCGGCACATCCCCGATGGATCGGCGGCAGGCCTCGAAGGGGCTCGGTGCGCCGCCTGAGTCGCGCCGCCACCCTCCCCCCCCCCCCGCCTGCCTACTTGACGCTGCCCCCTCGCCTTCCGCCGTGCCCCGCTCGGGAAGCGGCAGGGGCGGGGGGGCTGGCCCAGGGGAGGCGGGCCACTGACCTTGGCACTTCGGCGAGGCAGCGCCAACAGATCGGCATTGGGCCGATAGGGGGGACCCACGCGTTCCTGGGCAGGTTGGGGCACGCAGTGGCCCTGATGCTGGCCCTGTCCCCCTCCGAACGACTGCAGCAGCAACAACCCCCACTCCTCGATGTCATGACTTGTTTGCAACGTTGGCTCTGGTCTGGACTCAGGGAAGCCGACAAACACTGCCCAAAACCTCCCGCCGTGACCTGCTCTCAACAGGTAACGAAATGGGGCTCGGCATCAAAAGTCGATCGGCAAGGAATGGCGATTTGGGAATCGACGTTCCCCCCTGATCGTTAAGGTCTTAATGGCTTCTTGTAGGGCCATCAGCTCGCCCTAGATTTTCCATACGATCTCATCCAGATGTCCTTGGAGATCTCTGCGTTTGCCCAAACGTATCTGGAGATCCCTCGTCTTACCGGGATCTACTTACCTAGAACTGCAAGGTTTGATCCCCCAAATCGATCAGAGGAAAGTGGCAAAGCCCTCAGAGACATGAGCCCAGTCCCCCCTGACGACGACGACGACGAGGAGGAGGAGGAGGAGGAGGAGAACGAGGAGGACCCTTCTCGGCTTTGGCCCCCTGCCCCCTGAGCCCAAGCCTCCCCCTGACGCTGCCCCCCGGATTCTGCGCCCGCGCCGAGGACGTCAGCGGTGTCGGGGGCCGCAGGAGCACCGGGGGCACCACCAGCACGCCGTGGCTGTTGCGGGCCAGCCAGGGCGCCGGGGCCGGGCGGCGGCCGGACAGCGCGGGCGTCCCTGGCAGGCGGCCGACGTGCCCAGGGATCTCCGACGGCGTGCCACTTTCGTGTCGGCGGGCGGCGTCCTTCCCTCATCTCGTCTTCCGATCGGGAGCGTCCAGGAGGGGGGTGGGGTGTCCAAGAGGGGCGCTCGCAAGTGCCAACCCTGAGCCCAAAAATGTTGCCATCTCTGGCTTGGACGCCCGAAATGGGTACGGAAAAAAATTGGCACAATGCCCAACAACAAATGTTGTCCCAAACCAACAGCGGGCGCTGTTGGGCAGGCGGCCTTCTGTCTCAAGTGGACTCAGGCCGCGGTGGCGCGGACAGCGAGCCCTGTTCAAAATGAACAGGCACTGCTCTTGGGCATTGTACCCATCCCTTACTTGCAGATCTGCTCCTGCTCCTGGGCATTCGTGCAGATCTTGGGCATTCGTGCAGATCTTGCACCTGGGCATTCGTGCAGATCCTGGGGCGCATCTTTCTACCTCGTGCAGAGAAGGGGGTCACTACGCCGAGGGGGAGAGGAACTGCACCTGGGCATTCGTGCAGATCCTGAACAGGAACTGCTCCTGCTCCTGGGCATTCGTGCAGATCCTGGGGCGCACCTTTTTACTTCCGCCCGCTTCCGCCAGCGGAGCCACCCCCGGTGTGCTCTCGTCGGCCTCCGCCGACCTGCCGCCGCCCTCCCGCCCGAAGAGGTGGCAGCGCCTTCGGCCCTCGACGGCCAGGCCCCGTCTGGAGGGCCTCGCGTGCCCGGGAGGTCTCCGACGACGCGTCCTTTTGCCTCGCGCTGGCTGCCCATCGCAGGCGTCCCAGGAGGGGCATTCGCAGAACGGGGCCCGAGGCATGTGCGCGGACGACGGGGTGGGTGGGCAGGGCACGCGCTGACAGGAGAAGAGAAGGCCATGACATCCGGGGAGATCTCAAGGCCCCCGCCACGACAGCCACCTTCCCTTGGACGCCCCCGATCCTCTTGGACGCCCCCCATCCCCTTGGACGCCCCCGATCCTCTTGGACGCCCCCTTGGAAGCCAGCCCTCCTCTTGGACGCCCCCGATCCTGGAGCCCGTGATCGGGCCCAGGGACCACCAGACGCAAAGCTACGATTCATTGCCCCGGGGGAGGTGGTCCGGAGGTCCGGGGTCGTGGATTGAAGCAATCAAAAATTAGATGGCAAACAGACCTCCCTCGCTTTTGACCACCCTCGCTTCCAAGAGATACCAAGCGATGCCAAACGACGGCCTGTACTGGTCAGGCCGCTTGACGAGGAGGCGCGTGGTATGACTTGGATTTGCCTGGAAGCGAAAGCGGGGTAGGTAATTCACGCTCTGAAAAATCGGAGGACTCCTGGGTGCGAACACCCTCGCGCAGTGGCGATGCGTCCTGGCATGCCTACAGGCCCACCAAAGAATGTTATAAGAACCTTTTTGTGATCTGCACGGCATCTTATTAGAACAGTTCTGGCTGAGATTGTCTTGCTTTAAAACATCTGGCTTACGTTCTGAGAGCATTGACTTTGTTATTCGAAAACTGCTGGGTTCTACGAACATGTCGTGGAAGGCCTATGGGAATGCCCGGACGGTCGGTCCCTGCTCAACACCCTTCCCTTGCAGGGCAGCCTTCTGAAAAGCCGGCTGGGGTTCAGAATCCGGCGGATGCCTGCAGCCAGGTGAGCCCCACCGGGGCTGTCCGACCCCCCAGCATCGGTTGGACCCTTGGGGGGGCAGGGCTCGCAGTTGGTGGCAGACCTGGTGCGGAGCGCGCCGCGAGGGCGCGTCCCGCCTCTGGCGGCCGCGCCAGGCTGCAGGGGACTTGACCCGGCAGCTCGCGGCGCAGCCCCTCGCGCTCGGAGTCCAGCGCGCACATTCTTCGGCTACACCTCGAGAGGCGGCCCCAAGCCGGAGTGAACTTTGGTGCGTGGCTTAAGGGGGGCGCGGGAGTGTCACACCCAACGGCGCCGGCCGCTGCTGCCGCGCTGCAGCCAGCGATCGGGCGACGTCAGCCGGTGGTTCAAAGATGGGGTCCTGAGGGATGCGGCCCCAAGGACGAAGTGCCTCAAACAATGTGAGTCCTCCCTTGAATGCCTTCCTGCCATCAGGATCCCATCCCTCTGAACCCCATCTTCGAACCACCGACCCCAGTGGGCCCGCACCAACGGGCCACTCTGGCGAAGGGTCGCTGTTGCGCGTGGCCGAAAGTCCTGCGCAGGTGATGCCCCTCCAGGTCGGCGCGCTCCATCCTGGCGGCCTCCATCTCCTGCCTGTAGTCCAGGCGCTGCTTGAGGCTCCGCCAGGGGCGGCTCCCGCCCTCGTCCGCTGCGGGAGCGTGGCCCTGGCTCGGCCGCAGTGGGTGCACCCCGCTCTGGAGATCATCCCTCAGTCCTATCAGAGGAAGAAGCGACAGCACACACATGAGCGACGACAAGGAGCGGGCCTTGCGCACGATGAGCCACCTTAGACCGCGGCTTGCGCGGGCCGCCGACGTGGCACACACCGCGTGCAGAAAAGGGCGCTTAGGCGCGACCTCTCGCGGGAAGCTTACGCGCGAACCTCCGCACTGGCCGACCCCGTCTTCTTCGGTCACTCACATGGACTTCTGGGGGCTCGCGTGGATGCCTTGGAGCGGCGCTGCCCCCCCCTGGCGGCGCCTCTGGCACAGCCCCCTGGCACGCTCCGCGCGCCACGCCCGGGGGGTCTGGCGCCGACCCAAGACCTCCAAAAGTTCGAGTAGGAGGTCGACTACAGAATTACTGTGCCTACTCCCCAGACCTCTCCGGGTGTGCGTTCTGCCCAGAATTTCGAGGCGCATCCAGCGGTGGCGACGAGGGCCTCCCAGGAGGCCCCGAGAAGGGAAAACGAGCGCAGGGTAGCGCTGTAGGGTACTCCGTTCCCTCCCCCTCGAGGCGCATCCGGCGGTGGCGACGAGGGCCTTCCAGGAAGCCCGAAGAGGGGAACACGGGCGCAGGGCAACGCTATAGGGTTCACCTCTATCCCTCCTCCGAGTTCGCCTCCCTCGCGTCCCTGCGCGCAGCCCTCGGGCGGCGGGCCCCGTTGCTCCGAGCGCCTGCGGCCCCGCAGCTCCCGCCGCAGCGCCTCCCGCCGCGCCCGCTGCCGCTCGGCCTCCTCGCCGCCCGCCGGCGCGGCGGGCGGCGCCTCGGCGAGGCCCCGCCTCGCGGGACGGGCGGGGAGGGGCCCCCTCGCGGGACGGGCGGGGAGGGGCCCCAGGAGCATTTTCTCCTCCTCCTCCTCCTCCTCCTCCTCCTCCTCCTCCTCCTCCTCCTCCTCCTCTACCTCCTCCTCCTCCTCTACCTCCTCCTCCTCCTCCTCCTCCTCCTCCTCCTCCTCCTCCTCCCGTAGCAATTTTGGTTCAAGGCTAAACGTTGTGAAGGGCTATAGACGCCCGAGAACCAGCGATTAGTTTTGGGTGTCCGCCGCAGCCAAAACTCAGACCGTTTCGGCTACGTTTCGTTCACAGCAGCGTGTGGACCACCCGCCCCACCCGCGAGGCCTTCTTGCACTACTTGTCCTGGGAATCGGTCTAGTGCTTAGGAAGGAAGCGGGATGGCGCGTGGCAAGTATCTCGTCTGCCCCTGGCACGGCTGCAGCGGCTGGGCCTGGGCGGATCGTGGAGCTTCACATTGCACCAGATGTGGCACCAAGCTCGCTACGAAGAACATGTCCGCAGGAGATGACGTGTCTGCCACGGGAGCCCCCTCTCGATCCCAGCGGCCGCGCTCAGTCTCATTCGCAGGAGAAGCAGGGCAGCCGAAGGCAGGACGTGGACGATGGCGAGGCCGATCTCGTGACCCACCAGCAGCAGCTCAGCCAGCTCACCCAGTTGCGCAGGAGCCTCATCCCGACGGATGCCAGACCGCCATCGCCACCAAGCCTGCTGTGGAGCACAGCTCTGCCGTCGAGTTGGCTCAGGCGCGGGTGGCTTTCTGGAAGCAGTGGAAAGGTGATGGCAGCAAAGAGTATCGAGACGCTGTCGAATGTCTCAAGCAGGCGAAGCGGTGTGCCCTACAAGAGAAGACTCCATATCAGCAAGTCCAGAGCCTCACGGACCAGCTCGGACAGGCCAAGGGGAAGCTCGGACACAGCAAGACCACGGTCAACCAGCTCACCCAGCAGCTGGTCCTCGTCGCAGAAAAGCACGCCAGAGCCCTGGACGACTACCAAGAGGCCCACAAGGACGTGCATCGCCTACAGACGCAATTGCAGGTGGTCCAGCAGGCAGCGGCCCAGCGCATGGTGCAGGAGGTGCCGATGTCAGATGCCATGCGCTCCCTCATCGCTGCGAGGACCGACAAGCCTGCTGACCCCATCCCGAAAGAACTCGACCAACACCTCCTGGCCATGGCGAAGATTCTCGGGACAATCGAGCACCAGCAGAAGGCGACGGAGGAGAACCGCAACGACCAGGAGAGGATCAACGTCGACGATCGAGCTGACGGCGAAGACCCACTCCCAAGGGTGGGCCAGGATCCTGAGGGCGAGCCTATTAAGGCCAAGGGTCCCCCAGATGCCGCCGCCCACCCTGTCCCCGGCGATGATGACGCGCAGCTGGAGGCCGCCAGGAAGCGCGTCGCCGAACAGCTCGTCAGTTGCTGGGCCAACGTCGCCAAGCAGGAGCTCCACGGCGAAGAAGCCAGCAAGAAGCTCAAGCTCACGGCGGAGACTGCTGCTGCCCAGCATGCCGCAGAGCGTCCTGCGGTCCCAGCGCGTGGGTAGCAACATCCGCATCACCACCATCAACGGCAGCTGTTGGCACCAAGTCAAAGAGCACATCCTTTCTGAGTACGCCACAGATGACCACGTCATCTGCGCACAGGAGACCAAGCTGTGCACCGCGCAGTCCATCACTTATGCCAGTCAGTTGTGTGAGCGACATGGATGGGAATCTTTGTTTGAGATGGGCGCAGTCAGTTCTACGGGCACCCCGTCAGCTGGAGTTCTGCGTTATGATAACGGCTAGTTTTGGCTTCGGGTTCCAGGACATGAGAATTCCAAGGGGAGCTCAAAAAGTTCTTCCACAGGGACGCCTGGTCGGCGCCAGAGTAGAGCCGCCTGGGCCCGGCATCGTAGGAATTCGATCCTTGTACATGCATGTGAGCGCCGGTTTGCATGAGACCAATTTGAACGTGCTGGCGGCCACCGCCATGTTACATGATGAGTCTCATATACCTGTATTCATAGCAGGAGATTTCATTATGAAACCCACCAAGCTCAGCAAGCACGGTTTCACACAGCGCGCTGGCATGCAAATCCTACACACCTCCTCCCCCACGCGCAGAACTAAAACCTCCCAGTTGTGAGGAATGTGTTGTTTATAGTGGATGCCCGCAACATGTTTTTCACGAGGAGCCCCCAGCACACGCAGCATACCCAGTGTCCCCACACCGCCCAGTAAGTATTTGTATCGAGGTGGGGGAGAAGTTCACAGTCCCTGTTCTTTGCAAGCCGCAGCGCCTGCCCACCAAGCCTGGTTTGGGGCCCAGGCAGCCAGAGCGAGAATGGCTAGCCACGGAAGCATCGCTCGACGCCGCAGATGGGGATCCAGAATAACGAGACTACCACGCCGAACCAGGAGGACAAATAAGCTGCCCTGGATCGAGTCTATGACTTTCTGGTCAGGGACCTCGAGGTTACGATTGCGGATTTGACTGGCACGGTTTTGACAGCGAGTTCTCGGCCCAGGGCATGCCCTCCCAGGGTCAAGAAGATCCAAGCGAAACAAGTCTTGACGGGACATCGAGTTGCCTGGAAGTCCCACGCTGGACCCCTGCGCTGGCTAAGGAACCTCGCGCAGCAATTCTACGTCAAGTTAGCGAAGATAGACGCTCGCGACCTTGGCGAGATTACCGAGTGCCTCGGGGAGCCACCTACAGAGTTTAACGAGTCAGAGTTTCTCTCCGAGTGCCTGGGGACTACCCGCCAACCAGCGCCTGCACTTCATTTTGGACGTGAATACCAAGGTCCTGGACCCCGACCTGGGAAGAGAAGAGCAGCCCTGGATGAAGTTCTGGAAACATTAGAAGCTCCTGGACCAGGAGGTCGATTGGGAAGAAGAGTGATGTTACAGAAGCTTGGCACGAGTGGGCACAGGCGGGCACGCAAGGTAAATGTTGGATGGGCCCACACACGGACGAATAACCTTGACGCTTTGAGCCCAAACGAAGTCCATGGGAAAGGCATCTGGACGGACCGACCCTGGAAATTGCTGGAACTCGGAGCCGAGCGACTCAGTGACCTTTGGGATGCTGCGGTGGGAAAGGCCTCACTACCATGTGCCCCAAGGACCACTAGAGCCATATCCCTCCCCAATTGAGCCCCAGGACCTCATTGACGCCGCCAAACAATACCCGCATGCAACGGCCTCGACTTGGGGCGGATTGCACCCCGAGCATTTCCAGAGCCTGACGCTTGAACAAGCTGGCCGAGTTTGCCGCTATCTGCATCCCGTCGAGAATAGAGGTGCTATGCCCACCAACTTGCAAGCGATTGTCTCGGTCTTGACCCCCAAGACAAAAGCCGAAAACGCCCAACAAACTACTGCCCAGTTCCGAGGCATTGGGGTGGCGCCGGGGACGCGCAGAATTTGATCTCAGGTCCGACAGAGAGAAGCCCGACGATGGGAGGCAATGCGCCGACGCCCGCCCCTAGCCCGCCAGGCGGGAAAGAGCATCACCGAAGCTGCTTTTCGCCAGAGTCCCACGGCGGAGCACGGAGTGATCTGCCGAGGGCCGCTTCACGCAGGAGCTGTGCTGTGGAGCCTCAGCAACTACGATGAGCACATGAATCGCCAGAAGCTGATAGAGAGGGCCCACGACACAGGCTTCAGCAGCGTCCTCCTATAGGGCACATTAAGCAAGTACAGCAGCACGAGACTTGTTGCTACCCGAGAGCTGGTCCAAGTTGTGGACCGCCCTACCCGAGGTATTGCAGCTGGTTGTGGATGGGCTACCCTTCTAATTCAAGTTTACAGCCTGGGCCCTCTGGACACCGTCCTCAGCAATCCCCAGGGCGCGAATCTGCAGATGTTTATAGGCGACCTATTCTCGGGACAACTACAATACGATCCGCAAGCCCTAGTCCGACAGTTGCAACGCTCCGCGGCTAGGCTCGCCACCCTTGTGCAGGACGAGTAAGATTGCAAGCTCGCATTGCAAAGGCCCAGGTCATAGCTTCCACCGCCAGACTGCGTGGACTCCTTCGGAAGGCCCTTGGCGAATACGCAGGCCCGAGTGATGCGCATGTAGCCGCCAAGTTTGGGATAGATAGTTCCGCGGGGGCCTCGCGTCTTAGAATCAAGAGAAGATTCGCCGAGGCCACCCTGTACAAACGCTTTGTTAGACACAAAGACAGACGACGCCGAATGCGGG